TAAAGTTTCACTAGACACCTCCCTCACAGGCGTGGCCGAAGAGTTGAAGGAGAGGATGCCCGCCTGGGCCAAGATGAAGAAGGAGAACAAAGGGCAGCTTATATTACTAGATACAGAGATCTTTAGAAGTAGAGTAGGGGCCCTAGTAGACTCAGGGGCCACTCGCAGCTATATTAGTAGGAAAGCGCTGCAGAAGTTGAGGCTGGGACTTCAAGTCTAGAAACTGACAGACCCCATAGTTAGTATCCTCGCGGACAATCGTACTATGATTTTAGAGGATTACGTAGAGGGAGTCCAGGCATATTTCCGCCTAGAGAAGGATGGGAAAGTGGAGAAGGTCCTCCACTCCCTGACTCTCCTCGTAGAAGACAGCCTCCCATTTGATATTGTCTTGGGAATGGATTGGGGAGAGGCAGCCGGGGCGATGCTCCATCTGAAGGAGCACGAGTGTAGGCTCCCTAGTTCCTTAGGCGAGGCTAAGACTGCCCGCCTGTTCCATGTGTCAGGGGTAGAGAATTCCTTGGCGCATTGCTGCCTGAGTGCCCCCGCGTTCGCCAGATTAGTGAAGAAGGAGAAATTGAATGAGCAGGTCTTTGTTGCCTATCTGAGGCCAGTGACTGAGCCTACGGAAGAAAAACCGATGAACCCTGCGATTGCCAAGCTGCTGGAAGAGTTCAAGGACCTAACCGAGCCGCCGATAGGAGTGGTACCGCGGCCCATCCAGCACCGTATTGAGATAGAGCCTGGCAGTAGGACTCCTAAGGGCACTATATATAGGATGTCCCCACGGGAGTTAGAGGAGCTTCGCAAGCAGTTAGACGAGCTCCTCGAGAAGGGTTGGATTAGGCCCAGTTCGTCCCCTTTCGGATCGCATGTTCTCTTTGTTCCTAAGAAAGAGGGAGAGCTGAGAATGTGCATAGACTATAGGGGTCAGAATGCTATTACAGTGAAGAATGTTGAGCCACTGCCGAGGATAGACGATCTCTTAGATCCAGTGCAGGGGGCCAAATATTTCTCTAAGGTAGATTTAAAGTCCGGATATCATCAAATAGAGGTACATCCTGATGATCAGTATAAGACAGCTTTCCGGACTAGGTACGGGCATTATGAGTTTATAGTGATGCCCTTTGGACTAACCAACGCGCCAGCTACGTTCCAGCGTTGTATGAATGATTTGTTTAGGCCATGGTTAGACAGATTTGTCGTAGTTTATCTAGATGACATTCTCGTGTTTAGTAGGACCCTCGAAGAGAACCAGGGTCATCTCAGGCAGGTCTTGGAGAAGCTGAGGGAAGCTAACTTCAAGATCAATGCAAAGAAGTGCGATTGGGCGAAGACCCAAGTTTTGTATTTAGGCCACGTCTTAGACGGAGATGGCGTTAAGCCAGAGGATTGCAAGATCGCAGTGATTAGAGATTGGCCCACGCCACGTACGCTGACAGAGTTGCGCTCGTTCCTGGGCTTAGCTAATTACTACAGGAAGTTCGTGAGGAACTTCTCCACCATCGTTGCGCCCCTTCGCAGATTGTTGAGGAAGGAGACCATCTGGAAGTGGGATAAGGACTGCACGTCTGCCATGACGAAGTTAAAGCAGGCATTAATAGAGTATCTAGTCCTTAAAGTCGCCGATCCGTCCTTGCCTTTTGTCGTTACTACGGATGCTAGCCAGTACAGCATAGGCGCAGTGTTACAGCAAGACGATGGCAATGGCTATAGACCCGTGGAGTTCATGTCCGCCAGGATG